GGCCAGCTCAGCCCACCAGGGGGGGGGGCTGGCTGGCATGTGGTGCTGGGGGGTTGAACTGCGGTCCCTGTGCTTTGCTAAGCTTGTTCTAAGTAGGTGCTTTAGACCACTGAGCCATCTCACCAGCCCCAGTTTCTTTTTAAACTTAATATATACTACTGTCCTTTTTACTAGTTATTGGGCTAATGTATAATGTTTTATTTCTCCCATGAATCCTAGGAAGGTGCTTAGGCCAAGCTATCTCCCCACTCCTTCCCATGAATCCTGTGCTCCTGTAATGTTATTCTTAAACTACAGTTGAGATTAGAGAAGCATTGGGTGAGTAATAGACATTAAGTGATAGAACCAAAATAAGAACCACAAAAAAAAAAAAAAAAAAAAAAGGAAAGAAAAAGAAAAAGGGCTGGCCAGACAGCTCAGGATACTAAAGGGCCTGCTTAGTCAGAGCACAGCAGCGGGTTGGATCCCTGGCATGTTGTGCGGGCCCTGCCCCCAGGGCACGATGAAGGCCTGAGCCTGTAATCCCAAAGCTTGGAAGGCTGAAAACAGGAGAATCACTACGAGTCCAATCTACATAGAGAAGCCCTGTAAACCTTGTACTAAATACATGTATAAAAACAACAACAACAACAAAAACCCCACAGCAGTCTAGCTCCAAAGTCAAAATGATTTGCCCAAGGTCAACATGTGAGTCAGGATAAAACCTAAACAGTCTGCCTTCTCCACTTAGAAGCATGTGATTCAAAGTTTAAAAAAAAATCAGAAGTTGATGTCATTCCAAGTACCCAGTTATTCTAAATGAAAGGTTATTCCCTTTCCTTCAGCTACATCTCATCACCATCTCTTGCTAATTGTATTTCCTAATTATATTTTAATTCTATTCTCATTTTTCCTCAAATTTCTCCTCTACACAACAGACAGTAGTTTTTTTGGCTTTGTTTTCTGCTGATTCTAGGGATGGATCCCAGGGCATTGAGTATGGCAGGCATGTCATTCCCCCCTTCCTCCTCAAGTTTGGGACATGGTTTCTCAATGAGTAGTTCAATTGTCTATAGTGGACTTGGACTTGCGATCAAGTTTCAACCTCTTAGGGAGGTTGGGTTATGGATGTGCACCACCATGCTGGCTCAGTTTGAGTTTTTAATTAAAATTTTGAGATTTTTGGATGCTTATGTGTTCTGAAACATTTGTTTTCTTTAGGGTAGGGTCATTCAAGAAGCAGACATTGAAATTTTGCTATATGCTAAATATACAGTTTTTTTCCCCTGGACAGTTCTTATCTAAAAGGGAGAAATGCATATAAAAATAGTAATGATGCAATGACAGAGTGCTGTAACAGATATGTACTGAGTGTAATGGGATTACAGAAAGCCATTTACTTAGTCTTGGGGGAGTGTGAGTGTCATTGGCAACTTTCCAAGTGTTTCACTGTAATGGATATCTTTACTCATTCCTTGTACCTCCTGTAGTGTGCTAGTGTGATTGCCAATTAGATCCTGCAAGTACAGAAGTCCTGTGAGAATATATATCTTGATGATGAAATTGCTATGGTGATGCCAAGTATTACTTAGTATTTAGAGAGTAAGAGTATATAGTTACTGCAAATAGATGAAAGATTATATTTTGAAGGTTTCGATCACAGTGTTGATTTTTGTTCTTTCATCATTTAAGTGTACATAAAATCAGTGGGCTTCTGCATACTAGTAAAGGGATTTAAATGGGCTTACCTCCTGAGTACGTCATTTTAATAATAGATTAGAGCATGATTAACTCTATATGAGAGAATGGAAGAGAGTTTAAATGTCACATTCTTGACATTCAAGCTTGCATTTCAGACTTGGTAATGAGTAGAACAAAGTGTACCAGTTTCTAATCTGAATTGTCTATTATGTGGTTTGTTGATGTTATTAACTATCTTTTACCTCAGTTTTAGCAAAACATTTTAAAAATTGATGCTTTGTAATAGCAGCCATGTTTGCTTTATGTATTTTGTATTTCAAAATAAATCTAAAGAAGGTACATTTTAATAGGCAACAAGCAAATAGCAGAAAATAAATTTTAGTATGAGAAGGAACTAAAAAGAACATATATATTTTGAGAAAATGATCTTACCCTTTTAGTAAAATTACCTTTGTTTTATTATATAAAAATAACTAGCCAGGCATGGTGGTGCATGTCTGTAATCCCAGCACTCTGGAGGCTGAGGCAGGAGGGTTGTAGTGAGATCAAGGCCAGCCTGGGTTACATAAGGCTCCTTATGTAAGGAGCCAATCTGAACTAGATAGCGAGATCCTATCTCAAGCAAAACTGTATTTTTTTTTTTAGCATCATTCATTAAACTATGATTTCTTTTTATCCCTTACAGGCTTTTAAGGGAAGAAATTCATACGGATGTTACTTTCTCTGTAAATTGTGCTTTGTTCAAAGTACATAAAGCAGTCCTTTTAGCAAGGGTTCCTGCCTTTTATTTTCATATTATTGGACAGACATCAAATAATTTAATAAATTGTGAGCCTATTTCTGTGAAGAATGTTGATGCTTCAGAATTTAGAACATTTTTACAGTAAGTGTTTCATCTTTTTTCCTCTAGTATGTAACTGGTTATTTTAAAACGTGTATTTATGTTTTTAATCTATTTTATATTGATTTTATAACCCAAGAAAAACTCACTATTTATATTTTAAATTACCTTAGTAATTAGTATTAGTAGAATCTAAGTATTAATATTAAAGGCTTAGTATAGGTTTGAGTACAAGTTTAAGACTGATCCTGAGACTGGGTACAGTGATGCATACTTACAATCCAATTGCTTGGGAGGCTGAGACAGGAGAATCACAAGCTTGAGGCCAGCCTAGGCAACTTGGAGAGACGTGGTCTTAAAATAAAAAAGGCTAAGGATGGAGATCAGTGGTCTGGCTTCAATCTCCAGTGCCACCAAAAGAAAATAGACTAATTCTGGGCTCAAGTTATGGCTTATTAGGGGAGTACATGCTTAGTATGGAAGAGACCCTGAGCTCAGTACCCATTCACTAAAAAGAAAAAAAAAAAAAAAACTGATCCTAAGCAAGGAGAAATGAATAGTCTGCTCTCTGGTCATTTGAATGAGTTATTTTATGCCAGAGTTTCTGGACAGTGGCACTAACTGGGTTTAGTGGAACATGCCTATAATCCTTTTGCTTGGCAGGCTAAAGCAGGAAGCCATGAGTTTGAAGCCAACCTGGGTTACAAAGTGAGTTAAAGGTCAGTCTGTACTACAAAGCAAGACCCTGTCTCAAAAAATCAGTGAACAACTAAATAAAAATGAACAGTGGCACTATTGACATTTTGGTTCAAGTACGTTTTTTGTTGTTATTCGAAGAGTGCATTTTAGAATGTTTAGTTATCACCACCAAAATGTCAGATGTTGCCATCTTGGCAGAGGCTGGCGGTGCAGTGTCTCTGTTGACAGCATACCAACCAGTGTACTATTGTTATTTTTTAATATCAACAAATTAATTTTAGGACCAATTAAATAGCTCAGTGCCTGCAAGCAGGCACAGGGGCCAGTGGTTCCATCCCGAGGCCTGCCAAGCTGGCTCCATCCCTGGGGCACAATGAGACAGCAATTGAGTTGGGGCGTGGAGGTATGTGCCTGTAATCCCAGCTCTTGGGAGGCTGTAAACAGGCGGATCACTGAGGCCAGTCTAGTAGTGAGACCTAAACACCCTGTAGACCCTTCCCTAAAATACGGAAAAAAAATTTTTTTAAATAAAATAAATTCATATATTCATAAAAATATGAGCTTATAGTTGATTTTATTCTTATGACTCATGACCATTTGCGCTGCTGCCATAAAATACCTTAGACTGAGTAACTTATTTATTACCACCAATTCTGGAAGCTAGGAAGTCCAGGATGTTTTGTGTCTGATGAGGGCTGATTCCTCATAGATCACACCTTTTTTGTATTCGAGTATAGCATAAGCTCCCTCAGGTCACCATATAGAGGACACTAATCCTATCCATGAGGAGGAGCCCTCACGACCTAGTCATTTTCTATTACTTTGAAAATTGTTTCCACATAGCATCGGGTACACAAATTTTCAGCCCATAGCAGCTTGTGTGCAGTGAAAACTTTTGAAGACAGATAATCAGTTAAATTTTTTAGTAATTCAGGAGATATGAATGTTTGGTAAAGTTAGCAAATTGTTATTAGCTACTAAGTACCTGCTTAGGCAAGCACAAGGACCCAGGTTTGATCCCCAGCATCACATGCTACTCCAGCCGGACCCTGGGGGTGGTGGTGCATGCCTATAATCCTAGTGCTGGAAGGTGCTGAAAACAGGAGGATCACTACGAATCCAAGCTGCATAGTGAGACCCTGTACCAAATACATTAATAAATAAGTAACAGCACAGTGGCCTGGCATATAGTAGGCACTGAGCAAATTTTGGTAAATGTAATTCATGATGATAAGCATTATGAACTTATATATTTATGTAGCTGTTAAGTATATGTTTAAAAGTGTATCTTAAGGATAGGTAAAATTTTTATACATTAGAGAAAGGGAGAAATGATGTCAGTGTCATCCTTTATTTGTTATTAAAAGTGATAAGGGGAAAGTCTGAGTTAGAAATAGTTCTATTATTTGTTCTGGCCATCCATTATTGTTGTATGTTATCAGTCTGAGCAGAAAGGAATGATGGGAAGACTGGATTAATATAGCCCCAGACATCTCACTGAGCTTAGTCTCACTCTAAGTGAGCCTTTAGCCACCGAAAGTTTTCACATTTATTGAGGACTACAGGCAGGCTAAGAAATGTGCATAACTAATTTGGTGTAAGCAAGCTGTTAGTTACATCGCCTTCCGCATTCACCACTCTTTTAAGTTTTTTTAAGTTTATCTAGCAGTAGTTAGTAACAGACAGGACACCGCCTCTAGGAATCTGTTACCTTGTCTGCAGTTTGCAGAAATTACAAGGGGCCAGCTTCCTTGGGCTCAATTCTTTTTTCCTTGCTCCCCCAGAACTGTAAGCTTCTGACTCACACAACTATACTTTATCTTGTTTTATGATATCTACGAGCTTCAGGTTTATTATTTAGAACAAGAACATTAGGGTTTGTACTTTATGGAATTCACATTGCTGTAAGTGCTCACTCACCTTTTTTTTTTCAGATTCTTTTTTTTTTGTGTGTGTTATTTTATTTTATTTATTTTTTTCTACAGTTTTATTGATAAACATATAGCAGTGAGACAGTTTCAAATCAAATCGGAAGTACAGTTTCAACAAATAATACACTGCATATATTCTTCTTAGTGGTTAATTGCTGTACAAGATGCGGACTTGTGATCCTGTTTACAAACACCAATAGAACAAATCATTCCATTCATTAAGACAATGCAACTATATATCTACCCCAACCACTTTGAATACACAGATACAGAATGGACAT